GGCGGAGCTGGGCTCGGGGCAGGCGGGGGTGCCGGCCCAGCGCCGCACCAATCCGCGCTCCCGGATCCGCACTTTTGTATTTCCCCCCAGTGCCCCCGGGGCCGTTTGTGCTGGTGCCCTAAGGCTGCCGCATGCCGCGGGTTTGGGCGGTGCTTTCCCGGGGCTAAAGGGCTGCGCGGGGCCGCAGGGAGCTGGGCTCCGTTGGCCGGTGCAGGCCCGGCAGCCGCCTGCCCCCCAGCGCAGCGCTGGTCTGTGGGGAAGGCCCTGGCCGTGCCCGGGAGGACCGGGTGATCTCAGGGAGAGGAGAAGCTGGGAGCAGGGGTGTGTTCGCAGGAGGGCCCCAGCCCCCTTCCCCATGGGGGATATGGGTGGGACGCAGCTCTGCGGGCCCCTCCCCGAAGTGCAGGCAGAGCCCTGCTGCTGTGCGTCCCCCCAGGCAGGCTGAGCGGTGGAGTAGCCTTCAGGGCCTCGCTCTCACCACATCCTGTCCCTGGCCCATGCTCTTTCCCATCTCCAATCCTAGAGTCCCGCCATGGCACCCGGGGGTGGCTGCTGGGGCAGACGGACCCCTCCTTGCTGGGCGCACAGCAGGGTTTTTTCCACGTGTCCAGTCAAATGCGGGCAGTGGAAAGCTGCGTGGCCACAGGCTGCACAGACATAACTGGCTTCTGTGCTCTGAGCTGTGGAAACCCACATGCTGCGGGGTCAGCTGGGGCTCTGGCGGGGTGAGCTCCTACAGGGTCCCTGGGACTCGATCTGTTTGGACAGGCAGGTCATCCCCGCCCTGATGTTCACGGGAATGGGGGTGCATACGTGCTGTCAGTCCCTTACGAGTCTGCCGTTAATGACCTGGAATCTTGTTTCTAGGTGACTTACAGGAGGTGCCATCCACAGCGGTGCAGTTGCTCCAGCAGCACTCAGTCTAGTTTTACTGGGACTCTTTTACCCAGAAGGACCACTCTGAGCAGGGGGGTGGGAGGGGTGCTCAGGAGAGGAACTGGTTAGTGCCAGCATGATATGAACACCAGAGACCAGGCTGAGAACCACCAGCATGGCATCGCAAGGGAAGCAGGTTTCAGTTCCCTCCTATTGTCACAAGCAGGATTTGGATTTGGAGCCCTTGGGTCTGCAGACGTTGCTTTCAGCATCACTGTGGCACAGTGCCTGTCTGGGGTATGTGCCAGCCCCGACCAGCACTGGGGTGGGGCTACCCCCACCCTGACTGACATTCCTGGTTCATGAGCCAGGGGCTTTTCAGTGTGTTGAATAGACACGTAATTCACTCTTTAAAAGCAGAACTGGGCAGCTGTAGCTGTGGTTGGCTGAGGAACATGTGCTGTTTCCTCCAAGATGCTTGTGAAAGCAGCCTGACAGCTACCCGGGTTGTCACTTAGAGCCAGGACTCTGAGCCGATCCTTGAGCACAGGAGAGCAGCTCCTGGCCAGCCAGTTGGGCTCCGGCACTGCACAGGGTGAGTGGGCATTGAGCACATGCTCTGGCTGGCAAGCAGAGGCAACTGGGCCTCTGTTGAGAGATGAATGTTGGGATCATGAACTAGGAATTCCTGAAACCTTTTTCCAGCTCTGCTAGTGACTTGCCAAGAAGCCTTTGGCTGAGTCTTGCCTCCTTGTCTGCAATTTGGTGGGGGTGGGGAATGGGACCATGGGCTTGCCCTACACTCCCTAAAGGTTTGTGCAATTGGCTTTCATGCCTTTTTGCTAAGGCTGAACTTGGCTGAAGCAAACATGTATGTTCTAGCCAAAGGGTTGTAGCTGATCAACGGGAACAAGGAATTGCTGCCTCATTCGAGCTACTTAGTGCCGGACTGGGCACAGTCCTGGAGGTGAACCACAGAGGGTTGGAGACAGTAGAACAGGCTCAGAGTTACTCCAAGGCATTGTCTGGTCAAAAAAAAAGTTAGTGTTGGAGGTGTCTGTGGAAAGAAGGTACTGAATTGCTCCCTAGCACAGCAAGGCAGAACAGGACCAGACCACAGCCAAATACTAATGAGAAACCTGGTGTTAACTTGGACCTGGGAGAGTGATCTAACCATGGGAACCATCTTCCATGGGAAGCGGTGGCTTCTCCATCTCTTGAGAGCTTTAGGTCCAGGCTGGGTGTCTTTTCTGGTCTCTCTCCTCCCCCCAGTTAGGGCTGACCAACCTGTGGCATATATGCTACAAATGGCATAGGCAGCTTCTGTGCTTGGCACCCAAAATGGGGTGGGGAGCAGGGAACACAGTGATAGATATAGCAGGAACAGAAAGAACAGTAGATGGGCTGGGAGATGAGGACTGGGGTGGCACTTGGGGAGGGTGGGGAGGTAATTTGTGGCAGGACCTCACTGAGGTAAATGATCTCTGGTCTTTTTGCCCTTAAACTCTATGGATTAGAGACTGCAGGTAAAGAACTTGGTGCTGGCTGGCAGAGGGGAGTGGGTTGGAAGAGGCTTTTCCATCCTTGGAAGTGTCCTGCTGCTGACCCAGCTGGTGGCTGGGGGTGGGGAAGTGGGCCAACAGATCTATAACCCATTTCCTGGCAAAGCAGTAAAAATACTTTCCTTAGCTTTGGGCTGTCACAGTACAGAGTGACTTGATTTTTTTCCCTGTCCTGCTCCTCCCCTCCACCCCATAAGCAAGACCATGAGCTTGCTTGCAAGACCATTAGCAGGGGCAGGTGGCAACTGCTCTTGGGATTCGCTGCACCAAGGCAGGGGGAGTATAGGACCCCTGAATTAGAGCAGTACAAGGCAGTGAGAAGCTCCTGGTGCCTGGATCCAGCTCTAGGTGGGGTGAGGCCGGGAACCCACCTGCTCTTTGGACATGTATTTGTACACAGAGGCTGGTACAGAGGCACGGTTGTTATCAGCCTGAATTGAGAACTGCTCAGCCATGGGCTCCTCTTGCAAACTGCCTGTGGCTTCTCTGAGCAAACCAGCTGCCAACAAGAGGAACTGTGGCTGAAAGGCGCCTTCCTGAAGGGCTGGGCCCATGCTAAGTTGGGCCCCAGAGTGTCGGTGTAGCTGGAAAGCAGGCTGTCTGCTTCCTGGTGTGCCTGTGGGAGGCAAGCTAAGGGTGGGAGCTACCAAGCCTTTGTTCTATGTTTGTACAGGTTTTAAAGCATCTCTGGTGCTGGTGAAAGGTGCTGTCTGGGCAGACTGGTGCTGGATAATGGGAAAAAGCAAGCTATATGGGGAGCTCCAGGCTCCAGCAGTCCTGTCCCCCAGCACCCTTTGGTGGGATAGGCTGTGGTCTCCTCCAAGCTCCTTTTGTGTTCAGGGAGCGGGGAAGAGAAGTGTGGTTATGCGTGTTACAGTTTGTCAAGGTGTGGCAGCAGGGCAGGGGCGGGGTTGGGGAGATGGCACTTCCTTGAAGCGACACGTGGCACCCACAAGTTCTGTCCAGGTGTTTGACAGTTGCTGCTGAGGTGGGCTGGCACACAGGACACGTAACCAGTGCACCGCCATTAGCTGGCATCTCCAGGGGGAATGGCCAGCACCCATTAAAGATGGCAGCAATGAGAAGGGCTATGTGTACATGTCCCAGGCCTAAAGCAGTTTGGTAGCTGAAGCTGAGGTTGAGCTGGGACCACCTGCCTCCTATGAAAAGCAGAAAATGTTGGACTGGGTTTTTTTGCACATGTGGAATGGGCTGTGCCTGTGTTCTGGCTGCTTGGGGAAGTCCCCCTTGGTTGTGAAGTTTGGCTGAACTTCCCTCTCAAATAGTAACACGGGCATCTATGAGATGAGTTGGTGGTTCTCAGTCTGGCTTTTCTTGGACTGGAATCCAGATCACAAACCTGCCTCCCAGTTGGTGCTAATTGAGCTTCTTGGTCTTGGTAAAACAGACTCCACAAGACACACAGTCTGAACTCTCCTAGGTGCAGCCAAGGCCCTTTTGTGGCACCCCCATCCCTTCCAATTCCTGAGCTCAGTGTGGGAGCAGAGGAGCAGGCCTTGGGTGGTCACCTCTGCTCCTTATTTTTGTGCCAGCAGGGGCCACCATCCCAATTAAGTTAGAGTGTCTTCAGGATAACTTTGATCAGTGCCCTCCATCCCAGCCCTTGACAGTGCATGGAATGAACAGCTGAGGCACTGCAATGTTTTAAAATGCTCCTCTGGGAATCAAAAGAATTACACTCTTCAGGTCCCAAAAGAAGAGCAACAGCAAAGGCTCTGCTGGTGATTTTGTGCCCATCACTGGTGATGCAAGAGGACCGATGGCACTTACAGAACACGATATTGCGCGTGCTCTGGGCTGTAGGTTGGATGTACCTCTGAGCACTTTTGTTCTCTTCCCAACTTAGGCTCTCAGGAACACTTGCTGTCTCCCTTGAGGCTGCTGGGCTCAGGCCAGTGGGAGTAGTTCTCATGGAGGTTGCTGTGTTTTCCTGGTAGTCAGGTTGCATTGGGCATTGGTCTTTTAGACATTGTCTGCGTGTGCTTACCAAGATACAGTTGCTGTGGGTTGTGTGCTGGCTCTCCAATCCATGTAAAGCTTTGCCAACTTGGTCTCCCATCAGTGAGAAGAATGGGCTCTGTTTCGGAGATGCTCACCATAGTTCCCCTTCACCAGAGGCCGGAGTTAATGGAGGCCTGTGCTGAACTCATCAACGAAGAGTGGAAAAAGAGCAAAACCTCTCGCATCTACTCCCTCCAGAAGTCCACAGACAGCTTCCCCCTGTGCCTGGTACTGATTAAGACCCAGAGGACTGCAGAGGGTGCTACTGTTGGAAAGATGGTGGAGACCCAGCTGCTTGGGCATGCCAGGCTGTCCCGTGTGGTTGGCCAGCCTGAGAGCTTGTTTATGGAAACGGTGGTGGTCTCCAAGGCGCTGCGGGGCAAGGGGTATGGCCGGAAGCTGATGGAAGCTACAGAGCGCTACGTCAGGTCCCGGGGCTTTAGGCGCCTGCACCTCACCACTCATGACAAGCAGCATTTCTATGCCCACTTGGGCTATGCCTTGTCTGAGCCAGTGCAGAGCATGGGGTTCATGAGCTCCCTTGTCCCCATGAGATTCCTGGAGATGTTCTCAAGTCCCCTGCACCATGCTAGAGCTCCTACCCCTGCCCTGACACCTGGGACACCCAGCCCCACTGCAGCCCAGCTCAACAGTAGGACTTCAGGAGCAAAACCACCTTCACTACCATATGCCATAGCTGCTGCCCATCTGCCACCGCCGCCCCCACCTCTATCTCCACCTGCTTGCTTCGTGACAGCTGCCATTCCACCTCCTCCCTGGTTACCACCTCCTCCTCCCCATGCTTCCCCTCTCCACACCACCTCTGCTGCTCTTGGCCTCCCAGCCCCACCCCCACCAGCACCCCGTTTGCCACTACTGGCCATGCAAGGAAGCTCTGCATGTCTTCCACCTCCTCCACTGCCGCTCCCTTCTCTGTCAGGTTACAAGGGTTCTAGTGGACATATTGCCTCCAATCCAGCAGCAAAGGAGACCTGTGGACAGATGCTCCTAGAGACGCCATATCGTGATCTCAGAGGACTCCCCATCTTCTGGATGAAGAAGGACATTTGAGTCCAGCATAATGTGCCAATGCAAAGCTGATTAAATGTTGGAGGGGCGGGGAGAAGTGGCTTGCCCTAACTCTTACCAACGTGTTTCTCTCTAGTTTTGATTTGTTTACTGCCACCTCCTTTGGGGTTGAAACACCTTTCCTGTCCCCTAGAGCAGGGGTGGGCAAAATACAGTCTGCAGGCTGAATTCAGCCTGCCAAGGGATTTTGTCTGGCTTGTGGCGAAGCCTGAAGGCTGAATCTAGTCTGATTTTGCCTGGCTTGTGGCGAGTCCCTTGGTCCCGCCCAGCCCAATGCAGGAGGCAGCCCTGATTGTGGTGTGTGCAGCTGGCCCTGCTGCCCCCAGGTGCACAGTAGGGCAGGAGCAGCGCAGCAGCTGAACTCGCTTCCCCTGAGCCCCACTGGTAGTTCCAGCCCTGCTGCCCCAACACCCCCAGCAAGTTCACCCTGTACCCACCACTGGGTGCAGGACCTGCACAGGCAGGGCACGTGGCCAAGCAAATGAGATGGGGCTACAGGTGGGAGGGTGGGTGAGGCCAGGATCATGGGGCAATGACGGTGCTGGGCCAAGGTAGAGCCACAATCCACTCCCTGCACGCCCCTGCGGCGGGTGTGGGTTCTGCAGACAGGGATGCGCGGGGAGTGGACAACAGATCTGCTCTGCGCTTGGCTGGGATGGGGCTGTGGGTGGGCATGGAGTAGCATCTGGGAGTGGGTGGGCAGGAGCTGGGAGCAAGGGACAGTGACAGCATGGTGCAGGTGCACTGTGACTCTGGCCCTGCCCACCTGCCCTTCCTGCTCCCAGATGCTACTCCATGCCCACCTGCTGTCCCATCCTGGCCAAGTGCAGAGCAGAGCCATGAGTTGTTGCCTGCATGCCCCTGCGAAGGGTGTCAGCAGTAGTGGCCTTAGGGTTGTTTGGGGCCCTGGGCAAGAGTCATT